ATATTGCTGGCGGTATCAAATAATTTCATCATTCACTTGGTGTGAAATATTAAGAATATCAAAACATTATTTAAAAGTAGACTGAAGTAGGGAACCTCTGCTAATACAATTGTTGCAGCCTACTGCCTACCTATAACCATAATCATGTCAGAAGTATGTAATCTAGTATTTTATTCTTATTGACCAACTTTTTGCAAAAGGAAGCTTAGCATATGGATGATCTTTTGAACGGCTATTAAGCTAATGTGCCAAATACATGATACCTCTCCTGTCCTTGGCCTAGTTATGGCAAGGTTTGTATGCATTGGGTATGCTATGAGTTGCTTATCCATATTAATGTTTTTGGGTTGTAGCTTTCATACACTCAACATTATAGTTATGATTACTTGGCTACATCCTCAACTTTCATTTTTGCCAAATTTGGCTACTTGTTGGGGCAACTTTGATCTTGTCTGAAGATGCTCATCGTTTCCATGTATTGCTTATAGGTGTTTGGCTCTTGGCACCAAGCGAATGGCACGCCTGAATGCAATTGTGAGGTCTTTGCCATCTGTTGAAACTTTGGGCTGTACTACTGTTATATGTAGTGACAAGACTGGAACTTTGACTACCAATATGATGTCCGTCTCCAAGGTGACTCTTGTGAAACATGAGTTTGAAAAACATGATCGGTTTTCCCTGTTATAGCTGACCCATGAAAAGCTGAGCATCATATGTGGTTTTATATATTTTTTTTGGGTTTGTTTGACTATTAAAATTTTTCTTTTTGTTCAGATTTGTGTGGTCCATTCTGTTTTGCATGGTCCACAGCTTTCTGAGTATAGTGTCAGTGGTACAACGTATGCTCCTGATGGTATTATTTTTGACAGCTCGGGAGTACAGGTAATTGTACTAGATTCGGAGATATATTCATGGCTCACATGTCATTGTAAATGGATTGTGGAAACAAACGATGTCTTTATGGTTGATATCATGACAATTTTTGTGAATTAATCATTTAATGAATGCTTTTCGTGGTCCATTCTAATTGTAACTTAGATTGTAAAACGATTGTGGAAACAAACGATGTCTTTATGTTTGATGGCATGATGCTTTTTGTGAATTAATCATTTTATAATGCTTTTCGTGGTCTATTCTGTGTGTGTGTGTCAATCTGACACTAATCTAATAAATGATACACTGGTAGCTCATATTTCATTGTAACTTATATTGTAAATGGATTGTGGAAACAAACAATGTCTATGTTTGATGTCATGTTGCTTTTCATGAATTAACCATTTTATGAATGCAACAGTATTCACTGTCGGAATCTCCATCCTTAGCAACTTACTCTACTTACTCTCTAGTTTATTCTGTTGATCTTCGGATGGTAGTTTGAAATTGACCTACAAATTCAAAAAGCTAAATATACTTATCTTCACAACTAAATAGTTTAATATTAAGCTCTCTCTCACTATGGTTGAAAAAATTGTCCCATTGGATATGCCATGACCCCTATTTTTTCCAGTAAGTAGCCAAGTATGTCATCAAAATTGGAAGACTCCTTGTTTTCTATGCATTTTAAATTTTCTTGAGGCTTTTCCGTACATTTTTAATTCACTTTTTTGATTGAGAGTTTACCTCTTAGCCTGGTTCCAATGTTGAATTCTGTAGCTTGAGTTTCCAGCACAATTGCCTTGTATTCTACACATGGCAATGGGCTCTGCCCTCTGCAACGAGTCCACTTTGCAATATAACCCAGACAAGGGGAGCTATGAAAAAATTGGTGAATCAACTGAAGTAGCATTGCGTGTCTTTGCTGAAAAGGTTAGGGCCTGTTTGAAGTTCATGTCTAAAAATGGTTTTCTGTTTTTAAAAATAAAAACAGTTTCTTGATGTAGAAAGTTGTTTGGCAGGCTGATTTTTTTAACAAGTTTTCAGAATAAAAGGCAGAAAAAAGATAGAGATAGTAATTAATTGTTTTCATGTATTCTCTTTGATTTTTTTTATAAATTACTGGTTCATATATAATCTTTAATTGTTGTTTTAAGCATAAGTTGATTTACATGTGTTATAATTTTAATTAATATGTAGAAGAAATAAATGGAAAACACAATACAATTTTTTTTTTTAAGAAAAAATCAGTCTTCATAACAATTTCAAAAAATAGACCCAAAACACCCCAACAAGAAATATAAAATACATATATGTTATATGTATAATAATGTTTCAGGTTGGTCTTCCTGGTTTTACTTCAATGCCGTCTGCTCTAAATATGCTAAGCAAGCATGAACGAGCATCCTACTGTAACCACCACTGGGAGAGCCAATTCAAAAAGGTTGGTCTCTTTTTACAAGCAAACAGTTGATATAATGTGTAGTATTAGATGGAAATTGAAGTAATATATTCAAACAAGGTATTTATAAGAGTGGAAATAGGATGAGAAAACCTCTTTGTAATGACAAGATAAGAGAGATTGCTGAAGAAGGCCCATGTGGAATAAATAGGAGCAACAGTAATGCCATATTAGGTTCCATTAATTTGTAAAATGCTACTGATGTCGAATAATATTGGTTTCAATGGAACGACTTAATAAGAGTATCGATATTTTTAAGCAATTGAATTTCTTGCAATTGAATTTTTCAGGAGGTTGTTTTAGTTGTGTCGGTTGTTTATCGAAAGATACTTTGCAGATTTCGGTACTGGAATTTTCTCGTGATCGCAAGATGATGAGCATTTTATGTAGCAGAAATCAGTCACATATCTTATTCTCCAAGGGTGCTCCTGAGAGCATTATCTCAAGATGCTCAAGTATTCTTTGCAATGAAGATGGTTCCACCAGTGTTTTAACTGCTAGTATTCGTACTGAACTGGAAGCAAGATTTCAAAGGTTAGAACTTGTGGCATTTTATCAGCGAATATGTTAATGTTCATAAAACATCCTGTTCCCTTCTTTCCCTCTCTTTGGCTATATCCTTTTCTTTTCACACACCAAGCGTGCAGAAAATTTCTATTATCATATGTGCCTAGAAATCTCCCTACTCTTTATGTTCATTGGGTACAAAGAGAAGCAAAGGTAGCATTACTTTTCAGACATGATTGAGCTTACTTTTAGTTGTTATTAAGCTCATTAATACAAATTGATATGTATTAATGTTAAAAGATGTAATATAGGAGAATTATATATATTCAAAATGGCAATGGACACTACTAAAAACCCAGATGACATTTACTAAAAATAAAGGGCAATTACGAAATTCTCTAGCAAGGCAAGGCACAAAAATTTTGGTCTCGTGGCACTGTTGGTTCACAAGAGGTCTATTCTTCCATAAGAATGGATTGAAGCTTGAAATACTTGTGCGTCATGTAATGATGTACATGCTATAAAAAGTTGTATGAATGTATGCTTTGGACAGTTTTGCAGGAAATGAAATGCTTAGATGCCTGGCTATTGCATTTAAATTGATTCCTGCGAGTCAGCAGAGTTTATCCTTTGGTGATGAGCAAGACCTAACATTCATTGGGTTGGTATGCTTTCTTTTTGAAATTGCATGCTAAATTTATTTGCTGCCTCATTCTATATGTTGTCTTTCATCATGCTGCTACATGGTTCCTGATTGATGCATTCTTACAACTGATTCATATTATTCCACCTCGTCTACAATTTTGTTTCTTCCTTAGAATTTTACATCGGTTGAAGGTTACTAAGTTTATTTATTGTTGGAGATTGGAGAATGATTTGGGTCTGTATGTTATTCAACTAGCATCTGATTGATTGTTGAGTCTGATTTTGTACGACCCCAAGACATACAATTACAGAACCCCAAGGCATTTAAGCGTCTGATTTTTATATGTTCAGCTACAGAATTTGTACGACCCTCCTAAGTCCAACAACAGATACTAACAGAAAAATAGAAGATAAAAGATGCATGAGACTCCTCCTCATTGATTCAACGTGCCCCGAAGTAGTAGTACTTCGAGTGGCCGCAATGTGGATTGGTTCTAAAAAAAAAAATGCATGAGACTCATAATAAAATTATTTGGGTTTAAATGTAGTAATTTGATTTTTCTTGGAATTCCTAGGAATCAGTATACTGAATCCCCTTCTAAAGATCAAAGAATCAGCTTGGTTGTAAGTTTGTAACACCTCGAGCCCTTGGATTCAGACTAGGATTTCAAATAAAGATTTGGCATCTAACGGCTTTGGTGTGCTCCGGCATCCCATATGACCTAGATATGCCACCTACTTGACTTAATCTACTTTTGAAAGTAAAAACTTTTCTTACAAACACAACTTGCTTTTCCTCACATGGAATTGCTCGAGGCCAAGCATGTTTGACACGGAGTTCCTAGGGAATGGCCCACTGAAAAGAAAGGTACATCTTGGTGTAGGTAATAATTATAAATTCTTTCTTAACCATGTTGTTGCATAGTCTCAAGATCCCTCTTATTTTGATGGGGTTTTAGTTCATTTATGTGCCTCTATGCTCAAGCATCACATTGGATTTAAAGGGTAGTACTAAGAACAACCTATTAAAGAATTTCAACCAGCAACATCAGCTTGCACAGTTTGACGTACGCCAGTTACTTCTCTGGTAAAGGCAGGAAACTCTGCTAAGTGCCATCTGGGCCTTCCCGGATCGGCCCAGCACCTAGTCACTCGGTCGGCTAACTGGGTTGGCCATTTTTTAGTACAATCTATTTAGGGAGCCCAGCCCACAAACACCCAATAAATCCCTTGTAAATACTTTATGCCCCCATTTGGATCACAAAAGCCTGCGTAAGTGGACTTAGCTATGCTCAAGCATTACATTGAGAGTAGAAAAAGCAAAAAAATAACAAAGCCTACTAAAATTTTTTTTTTAGATAAGAAACAACTTTGTATTGATCAACCAAAAAAGGTACAGCCTAAAGGCTGGGTAGAGATCACCCCACCAAGAACTAAACAACCGCTTTTCAATTGTGCATAAACATGGAAATGTTGTAGTTACAAAAGAATTTACTGTAATTGATACACCACCAAGAGGCCATGTTCTGTACATTCATACAAAAAATATCAATAGTAGAGGACTTATCTTCGAAAACGCGAGAATTTCTTTCACGCCAAATATTCCAAAGTAGAGAGCTCTTGAAGCACATCTCCAAACAAAAGTGGTATTCTTAGAGAGAGTCCACCCAAAAAGAACCTTGTCCATCCGGTCGTCAATCTTTTTAGAAAAGCATATAGAAATATCAAAAGAATCCAAGAGGAAAAACATATGGTCTAAGCTTTCCCTGTGCATCAGACAAAAGGAGCACACCGAAGGGGATAAAACCTAATTTTTGCATGTTCTCTGAAGCCTCTCATGGGTGTTAAGACTTCTATAAGTTAGAGACCAAAGAAAGACTTTGATCTTCTTTGGGACCTTAAATTTCCATATTGCCGAGATGAGAGGAGAACTTAAGGAGGGTCTACAATCCATCATCTTCAAAAAAGCCGATCGAGTAGAGAAATGTCCCTTACCTCCAAGGGACCACAAAACCCGATCCTCTCCCTCCCCCAATCTCACATCTATAGCTTGAATAAGCCCCAACTAACTTTCCACCTCCCAATCAAAAAGGCCTCTTCGCAAACCTAGGTCCCAATCATTCTCGTTAGCGTTTCAACACTCCAAAACTGTTGCCTCCTTTTTCTGTAGAAAGATTGAACATAGTTGTGAACGTTTTCTGTAGGGATTCATTCCCAATCCATGTGTCCGACCAAAATTTGATCCGGCTCCCTTTACTTATCTTGAACTCAAGGTAGGGGTGTTCACGGGTTGGGTTGGGTCGGGTTCAGGACATTTTTTGGACCAACCCAAAATTTCGGGTTGGACTGTTTCCCCACTCGATGGAACCGACTATACTAGCCAAACCAACCCTATATTTTTCGGGTTAGGTCGGGTCGGGTCATTGGGTTGCTCTACATTCTATTCTTTTTTTTCAAAGGAAGGTTTGGACGATGGAACGAGCGGTGGACGACAGTAAACTTGAGGGAATGGCGGCAAACGAGAAGGAACGACTAACAACAACAAATAGTAGCAGACTGAAGGATGCGAACGACGACGAATAGAGGCAAATAGATGCAAAGGGTCACGAACAGAGGTGAGGGGCCGCGAACAGAGGCAAATGGCAGCAAAAATATGCCAACAGTGAACAGATGCGAACGATGACAGCGAACATATGCAAACAGCTGTCAACAAATGCGAACAATAACCATGAACGGCAAGAAACGAGACTTGAGATGGTGAGATTGAGAGAGGTGGGATGATATTGTGAGATATGGGATGAGATTGAAAGGAAAATTGAGAGAGATGGGATGAGATTAAGAGAGAGATTGAGAGATGGAGGCGAAGAGGCGGCTTGAGAGGGAGATTGAGAGATGAGAGGCAAAGAGGTGGCTAGCAAAACCCTAGAAAAGCTAATATATGTATATATATGATTAAATTCGGTTCGGTTCGGGTTAAATTGATTTTTTTTCTCCTAACCCGAGAACCGAACCGAACCGAATCGATTGGTTCTTAAAATCTTGAACCCAACCCGAACCGAACATTTAAACCCAACCCAACCCTCACGGTTTGGGTTGGGTTCTTCGGGTTACCGGGTTATTTGAACACCCCTAACTCAAGGAATTTGGTGAGGAACGAACTATTTTTAAAGATGTCGAACCAAGGTCTACCTTTAGCACAACCTTTTTGGGGGAAGAGAATTCCACCCGTGAGGATCTTCACCATAGATACTAACAATGACCTTTCTCCACAGCGCATTCCTTTCTTGGGTGAATCTCCAAAGCCATTTGAGGAGTAAACTGTTGTTCTTCTGGTGTAAGGCCCCTATACTGAGACCTCCGTATTGCATCAGAAGTGCGGTCTTCCCCCAACTCACAAGTTGAGTAATCGGGCCACTAGTACCTCGTCCTTTCCAAAAGAAATTGCGGGTCAGCTTCTCAATTTCATTCACAACCTTCGAGGCAGCCTTTAAGACCGAGAAGAAATAGAGAGGAAAAGGTTCTTCCATTTGTCAATCTTTTGTTTAACACAAAGCCTACTAAACTAATTCTGAAGCCATTTGTTTTTTATGGATTGCAAGTGAATGAAGCACAACAGATTGGACCTTATCTTTTTTCGACTCCTAAAGTCTAAATACGAATTAAATGCTATTCTTTATTCCATGATTATGGACATACATGTTAATGTTATAGGCATAACAGGGGACAACAATGATCTACAATTACTTCAAGATCCCACTTTCTATTTTTTGAATCATATTGAGATTTGTACTTATTGCCATGCTACTGTTAAGAATATTATTTCTACTGTTTCATATTTTTCCAATATTGCAGTTCATTTAACCTATCTGTAATTGGTCGTTTATGCTCCTTTGTTTGGTTGGAGCCCATGTCTAAAAATTTATTTTTGGTGGCGTTGTTTCTGGGTTGTGGTTTCCTTTTCTGGCTCCTTCTTAGGTTGATTTGTTTACCTCCCATTATAAAGGTTGGAATGCTTGATCCACCAAGAGAGGAAGTGAGAAATGCTATGCTTTCATGCATGACTGCCGGAATACGTGTTATAGTTGTAACCGGAGACAATAAGGTTTCTCTACATTCAGCCCTTTGACCTTATTAATTTTATGTCACTTTCTTTATAGGCAATAACTTGCTGACTTAACATGCATTTGTAGTCAACTGCGGAATCACTTTGCCGCAAGATTGGTGCTTTTGATCACTTGGTAGATCTAACCGATCATTCTTTTACTGCTTCTGAATTTGAAGAGCTACCTGCTATGCAACAAACAATCGCATTGCAACGAATGGCTCTATTCACCAGGTAATTTGTATAATCATGTATGATTAGATACTCATTACATATATGATCATTTTATTCAATGAATATTTAATAAATTCTTTTGTCAGTATACATCTTTTATAGAGTGCATTTTTACAGGGTCGAACCTTCTCATAAGAGAATGCTTGTGGAGGCCTTACAACATCAGAATGAAGTGGTAACTTTATGCATGTTTTGTTATTTTCTTTCTTTTGTTTGATGTGTTAGAGTATAGATATTAGTATATTTTATATTCTTATATTAATATTAATTTGTCATTTACCTTCTCCTTATAGGATTAGGTCAACCTTGTATATTTGTCTGTATATATAGACTTTAATAATGAGAATACATGACATTGGATTGTCTCCAACCTTAGTCTCTACATGATGAATAGTAAATATATGAGATGTCGTGGATATTATTTTGCAAAGGACCCCACCATTTCATTCCCTGAATAAAATACTCATACTTCGTTCTATTTTTCTGTGAACTTTAATTGGCATCAGAGAAATAGACATGAAGTATATTGGGATGTTAGCAAGAACTGAATTACCTCTCGATAAGTGAAATCTCCTCCATCTGTCCAATTTTTTCAATGATTGGAAACCAAAAACTATAATATTTTGGGTTACCTCCTAGTGGCATGCCCATATTAGAGATTGGAAGAGAATCAACCTTTGAAGCAAATTGATTTAGATGACAGGACCAATCTTTAAGCACAAACTGAAGATTTGTCCTAATTCACCTTAGATCCTGATATCCATTCACAAAATTGAATCGTGGTGATCAATTTTCCTAGCATAAGATCGTTACTCTTGCAGAAGAGAAGAATGTCATTAGCAAATTGCAATGTGAAACATGAACCATGTTGATACCCACTGAAAAGCCTTCGCTTTGAATAGATGTTTTCAATCATACTTCTCGACACATCACTTACGAAAAGAGAAAGAAAATGTGAAAGGGGATCACCTTGCCTTAAATCTCTATAAGCAAGAATTCTACCACGAGCCCTTCCGTGAATAAAAACAAAACATTAAATTATCATGTTTAAGAATTTATTCGGTGAAAATAACTTTGACAGTCAGGATCTGGATGGAAAATACTTCATCTTGTGATTATTTTTTTTAATTTCATCTTTTAAAGAATTATTGCGTCCACATTTCTTTTTCTTTTGATTTGGAGGAGGGACAGGACGTTGGCTAAGAACTTACTGTTGGAAAAGGTCAAAATAGGCCTAAATTTTGGTGGAAGACAAATACTAATAGTAATTTGTATGCACAAACATTCCTGAGCACACATGTTACATTTTTTTAATTTCTTGTTCTGTCGATTTTTAGGTTGCTATGACAGGTGATGGCGTCAATGATGCACCTGCGTTGAAGAAAGCAGATATAGGAATTGCTATGGGTTCAGGAACAGCAGTTGCTAAGGTTGGTGTGTTTACTGGCAAATTTATATGATGTCCAATTATTTTTCATATTTGCAAATATGTTCTTTTGGTTTTTTACTTTTTTCAACTCCCAGTAATTACTTTCTGCACACAATTTGTTAATGTGCTTTAGTTCATTAGTCATATTAAATACACCCCTCCGTTTGCTTTCTTGATCTAATTCTTATTGATGATGCTAACTATTTCCTTGCCATTTTTCTTTCTTCCCTTTCTCTATACCTAGAGTGCTTCTGATATGGTTTTGGCTGATGACAATTTTGCTTCTATTGTTGCGGTAAGCTCCTGCCTCATGTCCTAAAAGTTTACAAGATAAAGAAGATTTATTATTTTGGAATTCATATATCCTTAAACTTTGTGACTAGTTTCGAACTTGATAGGCTGTTGCAGAGGGCCGAGCTATCTACAATAACACCAAGCAGTTCATCAGATACATGATCTCTTCAAATATTGGTGAAGTAGTTTGTATATTTGTGGCAGCTGTTCTTGGAATACCAGAGACTCTTGCCCCTGTTTGTTCTTTCACCTTTTTTAACATGTCAATGTCTTTGATGATGGTTATTCTTTGTGCACAAGTTTATTGTACTTCCGTGAGGTGGAAAAGGACATTTATCTTTTCTCATCTAAAAAATGATTACAGGTGCAACTTCTTTGGGTCAACTTGGTCACTGATGGGTTGCCTGCAACAGCAATTGGATTTAATAAACAAGACTCTGATGTAATGAAAGCCAAGCCACGAAAGGTATTGAACAAATGAATTTTTATTCTTTAACAGGTAATAAATTTGTCATCTTCATGGGTGGTTACTTGTGAAGTTCAGTGATTAACATCAGATTTATGGTTATATCCTTCTCTTCATCTTTATCTTCATCTTCATCTTCGTTAGTGCTTATGCTATTGGGTCAATGGTTATATTTTTTCTCTCGTGTATTACTTATGTGGCTGGTGACTAATATTGCTGTGTCTAGATTCTTCCCTTGTCTTCCATCTCTTTTACTGCTCTTACTACTATTTGATGATATAAAATTCAACTGAATTTTTATTCCTAGAACAATAGCTTGCCTCTTTTACGAAGGTACTAGTCCAATTGATTTGATCATGCAGGTGAATGAAGCTGTGGTGACTGGGTGGTTGTTCTTTCGTTATTTGGTAATTGGAGGTAGGCAATAAATTACCTAAATCTGGTTTTTTCCATGGAATGTTGTTGCTAGATATCTATGGTTTTAGCTTGGCATCTTTGTGTTTCTTACTTGCAAAAGTTTTCATTTTGGGACTCTGGGATCCTGACTGACCTATGTGCCTTGACATGGCTAGGTAGACTGTTACTTTAGGGAACTATACTCGGTTACCTTCACAATTTTCTTCCCTTTATATTTTCTTAACTGATGGGATACAAGTTTTTCCCTCATGGCCAATAATCGATTGAACTGAAAATGATCAAAAGTCTAGGTTTACATGCTTGTTTTAATGTAGTTGGAATCAATTGATTGCATTAGATGAACTAACTACACTATTCTCCCTGTTGTATGTTGAATCAATTATCTTTTGTTAATTTATTCTATCAAGTTCCTGTGGTGAGTCCAATTGTCATCTTATGCATCGATAATGAGTTCTCCTAGTGGATACAGAAATACTTCTCATTCTTGTATACGTAGACCTAAATTCTCATCACATTCAAATTATCAGCTGTTATCAGAAGTTAAAGCTGGCAATAAGCTTTTGAATGGTTGTATCATTGGTGCAGCTTATGTCGGTCTTGCAACAATTGCTGGCTTCATATGGTGGTTTATATACTCTGACAGCGGTCCTAAGCTAACTTACAATGAATTGGTAAAACTCTATGTTGTATTATCTTGCTATAGGATATTGCACTTTATTCTTAGGTATAACATATGGAGAGAAGCATATGCATGTTATGTGCATTGAGGAAAAAAACAAAAACAAAAACTTATCCTTGCTCTGTTCTTAACCATTACTTCTGACTTGTATTTTTCTTTTTCTTTTTTTTTTTTGACTTCATTACTTTTGACTTGTAGGACTGTTAGATAAGCAATATTGAGCTCAATTCTAGTATCAACAAGATTTTGAGTAGGGTATTAAAAAATTATGCCAAGATATTCTTGCAGAGAGCTTGAGTGCATTTAATTAACTTCAAATTCTTCATGCCTGATAATAATAGAAGGATCTTTTAACTTCAAAAGATTCAGCTTGAATCTCTACACTCATCTTTCCCCTTGCGCAATTGTATTTTAAAGAAAAGAAAAATTGGACTGTTAGCACATTTAGTTGGTTTTGGCCCTTTCTCAATTTGGGATATTTCTTTCAGATGAATTTTGATACTTGCTCAACAAGAGAGACAACATACCCTTGCAGTATATTTGAGGATCGGCACCCATCGACTGTGTCTATGACTGTACTAGTTGTTGTCGAGATGTTCAATGCTTTAAATAATCTAAGTGAAAATCAATCTCTTCTGTAAGTATTCAATTACATTTATATTTTCAGGTTTCTGCAAATCATCAAAATTGTTGCATAGTTGAGTGAAGCAAATGGCAATTAAAACTTTGCTTTCCCTATGTAAATGCTAGATTTGTTAGTTTTAATAAGAATATAAAAGGTAAAGATTTCACATTTCTGAATTCTTCGTTTTCTTTTTTTTTTTTGGATAAGAAACTTTAGCAATATATAGACAATAAAAGAGAACATCATAACCTAAGGGCAGGGGAAGAGGGGTCCCCCTGAAACAGAAACTAATGAAGAAGAGCTTTTCAATCTATAACAATGAGGGAAAAGCTATAATTACAAAATAATTTCTTGTGGTTGTAACTCCACCCAGAGGATGTGAGCTGTACATTGTTACAAAAATTAAAAAAGGAAGTAGATCTATCTTCAAACATTCTCTTGTTTTTCTCCAAACATATGTTCCACAAAGGACCCATAGCAGCACAGCTCCAGAAAACAAGGACATTGAAGTGCCAGCCCTTAAAGGCTTCAATAATCCAATCTTCCACTCGTTGAGGCAGCATTAAAGATGAACCAAACTCTTTAAAGAGGAAGGACCACCCCTTCGTAGCCAAAAAACAGTGAAGGAAAAGATGGTTACTAGATTCTATATTGTTAATACATAAGCAACATACTGAGGGGGAGAGAGCCCACTGCCTACCTGGACTTTCTCTGAAAATTACCTTGGGTGTTTAAACCGCTATGGGCCACTGACCAAAGGAACACCTTAACTTTCTTCTGGACTTTCCATTTTCCGATCAAACTAGCCAATGGTGCTCTCAATTTATGCACCATTTCTGTAAGCTTAAAGAAAGTTACCTTTCAGAAAATTGTCCTGTAGCACCAAATACCAAGCCACTCTGTCTCTACCCCTTCCCAGCTTCACAGAGTCAATGGTACTCACCAAGGCCACCCAGCTATCTAATTCTCTGTGGATAAGGCCTCTTCTGAAGCCTAAGTCCCAGCCCAGTCTTTATGTTTTTATTCCAACCATCTGAATTGGACGCCCCTTTTTTCATGGAGATGCTAAACAAATCTGGAAAGGATTGAGCCAAAGGACAATCTCCCACCCATTTATCCTTCCAAAATCTGATTCTCAGCCCTTGATTCACTTTAAATGCCAAAAAATTGAGGAAGTGTGAACCGTTCTTAGCAATATCAAACCAAGGTCTCCCACGGGCTTTCCCTTATGGCTGCTGCGTTATCCAACCGCACCCGCTCCATATTTGCTATTAATAACCTTTTTCCAAAGCGTATAATCCTCTTGTGTAAACCTCCATAGCCACTTCAGCCTGAGCTTTCACCATTTGCTGATTGATATTTATCCCTATGAGGGGAGTTTTTGCGATGTCGACGAACAACCCAGAGGCATAGGGGAAAAGAGAAATGATTATCCACCAATTGGAGAGCTTCTTCTTGTAATAATCAACATATTGCAAATGGGAGACCATCGCTCTGTTCCTTCCAACCGAGAAGCCCTACAGGATCTTTTTTCACAGCAGTAGTGTATTAAGCGACTAAAGGAGTTTCCAATCATAGTGAAAAGGAAGGGGAAAGGGGGTCCTCAGCCTCAACCCTCTTTTTGTAGAAATCCTACCACGGGGCCTACCATTAGTAATAACTGAGAAATTAACAAGAGCAAAAGCCCTTATGCTCTAAAATGGCATCTGAATAGACCACATCAACTTTGTCATAGACTTTTTCATAATCTAGCTTTAGTAATAAGCCTTTCTTTAGCGAGCTCCATTCCCCTATCGCCTCGCAAATAACTAGAATGGCATCCAGAGTTTGCCTTCCTCCCACAAAGGCAACTTGTGCATCATCTATAATGTAAGGGAGTACCTTTTTAAGTCTTTTAGCCAAAACTTTCGCTATTAGCTTGGAGAGGGAGGTACAAACTGATAGGCCTATCTATACTTGCTAACCTTGTTAGCTCTCAACTATCGTTCCCATTGAAAACGCCTGGGTTAGTCTGAGTGTCTTTCATTTTTGGTTGCTGTTGGTGAGATGCCAGGTGAAGCATGATAAGTGAGAGATGAACTCATGGCAAGAGATCATCACTAGTGATTTTGAGAGTCACCAACCAGAAAATTGGCCTGTAGCATCCAATGACCAAGCCACTGTCTCTACCCCGATGGCAATTTGTCTGGGACCACTCTGTCTGGGATTTCAGCACTTTTCATTTTTGGTTGCTGCTTTCTCATGCTTTAATGGTTGATAGGGATTTTTTTTTCCCTTTTACCTTTTGTTTGAGTTTCTTTATCTTTTTGTGGGTGTTCATTTTCCATCACTGTGCTGGGGGAGGAATACGTTGGAGGTTGGGACTAACATCAAGATGTGTTTTTCAGTGTTATTCCTCCCTGGAGTAATTTATGGCTCGTTGCTTCCATTTTCTTAACTATGATCCTTCACATGCTGATTATGTATGTGCGACCACTCGCTGTTCTTTTCTCTGTAAGTTGTTTCTTTCTCTTGATCCACTTGTGATTCCTTTGGTGAAAGTTTCTGATAATTAAGTGAGTTGAGTTTGACAGACTGTAAAATGTTTCTATTACAGGTAACGCCACTATCTTGGGCTGAGTGGACTCTGGTTTTGTATCTTTCGTTTCCAGTAATATTGCATCTCTTGCCTCATTCTCTGATGTTCCATATCTGTTCTTATTATCCCCCACCCTATTGGCCTGATGGTGTCTGAGTGTTGTTATGTGTTATGGGCACTAGTACTTTCGGTGCAATTTTAAGATTCTTTTCTTGAAAATGTTAATCTAGAAACTTCATTTATGGGTTGTAAGATTCTTTTCTTAAAAATATTCATCTAGGATCGCTCAAACTTCATTTGTATCTTGATTCTTGAATGAAGAATTTGTCAAAACATGAACTACCATTACCTGTTGTGTAACATCTGCTTTCACAGTGCTTTCTAAATTGACCAGTATAGAGGCTTATTCATTTCCAAATACACGAAGTGTGCTTTGTCCACATAGAAAGAGCCTGAAGAGTCTGGTTCACTAATGGCAATTTGGAAGTGCATGAATAGTTGTAGCAGTGATTATGATGTTCAGATAGTACTTCCTCCAGTGATTGGAGGATATACAGGTCTCGGGGAGGGTGTGTGTTAGGGACAACCAAAAAATGTTATCCAATGTCAATGCATTGAATATATGCACTAACTACTGTGACAACTAGTTTTGCTCAACTCTTGGAAACCCCTCTATGGATGCTTGTACAATATTTATGTGCATACCTACCAAATTCTCATTTTTCCATATCAATTTAAACGATCTGTTCTTTATTTGATGCAGGTTATTATAATTGATGAGATACTAAAGTTCTTTTCACGACGCTCTAGTGGCAGTATGTCTTCCTCACCTGTTTTATAATATATATTATTGTTACTGCATGTTTGCTCATGTCTAAGAATTTGTAGTTTATAAGTATTTATGATTATGTGAAGAGGAAGTGAAAGTAATAATTTCCAATTATTTTCTTGTTTTGTTAATTGTGTATTTTGATGCAGTAATAGGTAAAAAGTGAGGCAACTTATTGGTTCCCATCTAAATTTTTCTCATTTTACTCGGTCGTTTGACAATTGTAGGGATCAGGCTTCCATTCAGATTCAGAAGGCATGATTTACTTCCAAAGAAGGAATTGCGTGACAAGTAGGAAAACGTCGTTATACTAAAGCAACAAGCATGGCTGATTAACAAGGATGAAGATTGATGTCACTCTTGTTTTATCCTATCCAACCTCAAGAATTCAACCCGAGTGCATTCACTAGTATTCATTAATCTTATACCGGAATATTCCCACGAGGCTGACGTTAACAGTACCCCAAGCTACAGGTCAGTATTACTACACAACAATCGTGAAGAGAAAGCGGAAAGATGAATCTGCTGGTGAAAACTTGTGGGGTACTAATCTTTTGAATTTGATCTGTTAGTTTAAAATTTATCCTAACATGAAAATTAACATTTTTGGTTCTGGAATTTTGTTTTTTCACATAGCAAATCTCGACAGAACAATTTTTGCTGCAATTTATATTATCAATTCCTCCATGGGAGGAATTTGCTGTTAAATTGGTTCAAAGATGATTGGTGTGGGAGGTAAGGTAGCAGCACTTTGTAGGTTCCTTGCAAAAGGGAACATTTCCAAATGAACTCATTGCTAGAAGTTACCTGTTCAATTGCACCATTAAAAGTATCAAGTCTTTTCAAACCAAGAGAGGAAAAGATTGATGTTTTATCCACGAACTTCGAATCTTTCAGCTCTGTGACATCGTTTTCTTCCATTGCATTTGATATCAAGATAGCTTAAAATGGTATTTCTGCTCCAATGGTTTGTGGTACATTCATAGAAATGGGATTCTGCACCACATTCAATTTATTTATTTAAAGTCTGTTTTCTTTTTACAACAAATCTTAGGTAGATCAAGCTATGCTCACATTTGGCTAGTTCGAATATATTTGAGCAACTAAGAAGCTTCAATTTTGATAAATAATCGAACAGTATAAATGATCAAGATCCAATAACTACATAGATATTATAAATTTAGTTTAAATCGTATTTTTTCCTCTATACTTTCAGTCTTTAAACTCTAAATTGTTTATACATTTCTAAAATTAGAAATAAAATTATTTTTAATGTCCACCATTAACATTTGTTGATGAAGGCACTTGACAGTTCATTGACTAGAACTAAAATTGATAATATTTATTAGAAAAGTAACATTTGGATTATCAAGAATATAGAAGTTTCCTAGTTTCGCCATCAAAGCTGCTGAAACTACGACAGAAAAACAAGCCTCAAGTCCACTTGATTCCATAAAAAGAGATGAGATCCATTGATCTTGGTGGTGCATCATTGATTCAATGAAGTAAATAGCAATAACCCCCAGTTCCACACCTCTGACCAAAGTATTCATTACAGAAATTCAATTTCAAGTATCATATTAGAAGTAAGCTAAGTTTGAAGGTTTGCAAACAGTCTATTGTGCTTTTTCAAGACTCGTAAAGCGATTGTGTGGCTCTTACTTTCACCTACAAGCAATCTCCATCTCATTCTCAAGAAAACGGTTTTGGAAAATGGGGTTAGAGAAAAAAGTTTTGGAAAACATTTGAAAGTATTTTGGAAAGCTTATTGTATAACTTAAATGTAAGAGAATAGATAGTGGTAATACAAGAACACAACTCTTTGCAGGAAGGTGACTAGGTGTACCTTTAAAATACATTTTGGAGCATTTTGAGTACGTGGAATGAGATTGTCATGAGCATGTAGCCAAGATAGTCCTTAGTTACACAATTGAACAATATATGTGAAATACTATGCCACTATAGTCTATAATTTCTCACAACCTCGATGATTGTAATCTTAATCTGTTCAATGAAATATTCGAATTTTAATACTTTATAAATTATAACTTATAAGATTTGGAATTTGCTTTATTGATAATTTCTAATCCAATATAGTCCTTAGTTACACAATTGAACAATATATGTGAAATATTCACATATATAAAGATTGAAATAATCTTAGAATTAAAAAAAAAAAATATATATATATATATATATATATATTTTTTTTTTTTTGAAAAACTACTTATCGAAGTATGTGAGAAACATACACAAAAAAAGAGGACTAAATGAAGGCACTCCAATATAGAGATATGGTGGTTGCATCATAATTATAACAAATGGGGATTTAGAGGACCAAAAGAAGCTGAAATAGTTATATTTTCCCAAAGGTTGGCCGGAGGCTTCAATGTGCCTAAGAAAGTACGATGATTTCTCTCCAACCAGATATGCCAAAGAATCGAGCTCACGGCGTTGCTCTAGAGAATATATCTTGGTTTAGTGAGCGGAACAGATGGAACCTCAGCAATGAAATTATCAATATGGTTGTGGAGAGCGGAGGAAATCTGGAAAGTATCGAAAAGACGATACCAAATACTTTCTGTGTACTTACAGTGGAGAAAAATATGATCCAAAGTCTCCGACGCTGATTCACAAAGATAGCACCGGTCTGGGCTCATGCTCATATTTGGAAGGCATTTCTACAATCTTTCCTACGTATTTAATGCTCGGGTAACTTAATATTTGTATAAAATATTATTATATACAAATAGTAGTGAAACATGAAGTGGAATAGCTAACTTAATTAATACCAAAAAGATGATCTCGGAGGATCTAGTGCACTATCTTGATAACTTTGATATAAATTACAATAGTTCTACTCGGTCATCGTAAATTGAAAGTTTTGAAGGTAATTGCTCAAATGAGTAGAATATGAAGCACATAGGTAGATAATTTGGATGAATGACACAATCACAAGGTTGAAGTATTTGAAAATTGTATAAATTTGATTGGAAAGTTTGATTGATGATTGATTTGAAATATGTTTGAAAAATGTGTAAATTCAAATTTGAGAAAATAAGTAGGTAAAAAGTAAACCGATACGAGTTAACTAGAATTTAGAAACATGTTTGAAAAGCGATAATTATCTCATTTCCAAATGAATCCTATTATGAAAACCACTAAAGAATAGTCAAAAGTTTACCATTAAAGTTTAGTTTACATATTCAAATAATTTTCATCAATCTTCATTAAAGGAAAAAAAAATCTTTTTTCGATATTTCCATATTTTCATAAGTAAAATAGTCATATTCTTATATTTAATTGTTAAAGGTCATCATTTATAGGCTAATTCAAAAAAATTCCATTAATTTTCATAATTTTCATTATTTTTCTCGAAATATCCATCGACACCGATATGTTTTAGACATTTTTATCGACAATTTTCATAAGGATCCCTCTATGGTTCAATGTCCCAAATCCATAATCATGGCAAATAATTTGCTCTGTCTCATCAGTGAAACCCTAGACCCATGGCCGATTTTGTCTTGACCGGATCCCCATCGGATCCCTCTTTCCCGACCCGAATACCGACGGCAGGGCGGCTGGTGGCTGGTGGCTGACACATATTACCAATAATTCAGACAAAGTACAGAGAGGGAATATTTGCATCGTTATCTGTTCCTGACGCCAGAAAACAACATGACACTGAATCGGAAACTTTGCTAATTATTAAAAATAAGGCATGTTTCAGAATTCAGAATAATGTCTCCAACTTGAATCGACAATTCATTTCTCAATATTTTGTATCTAGAACCCAGAAAAAACAAAGGAAAAATCACCACTTATTTTATCTACAAGGCCACAGAAGAACAAAAATTCTCCAAGCATTGGAACAATTTATCCTCTTGGCTTCCCATTTTATTAAAAAATTCCTAACATGGGAAATGAACAATTTGCAGAAGACGAGCAATTGAAACCCTAATCAAAACCCAGCTGTTTTCTTCGTAACAGCGTAGCTTCTACTTCTCGAATAAGCCAAATCGGTCTTCTCCTCGGCGCCATCTTCAAACTCGCAAGCGCTATCTTCATCGATCCTGCCCATCCCAACGCTGCAACTTTTAGGCAGCGGCCCCCTGGATGATGCGTGCACGGCGGTGGACTGTCTCAGCCTCTGCTGCAAAACAATATCGGCGTCGATTTCTTTAATATCCAAGCTTCTGACGGAAGCGGCCTTAACAAGCTCTCTGAAATCCTCTGTTTCGTTGGATCTGCAGGAGCGGGCGCTGTAGCTCTTGGGCAAGACGGGCAATTGGCCAGATGGGTAGCCGTAACTAACCTTGGGGGCGCAATCCATGACGCTTCGGACATAGAAATCCTTGGCCTTGCCCAGAGCTCTGAAGGGCAGTGTAACGAATCGGAGAAATTTGCTCTGATTGTGCGATTTGGTTCTCATCTGAAAAAGCCTACCACGTGTTCGATGAAATTACTGAGAGAGAGAGAGAGAGATGCGAATTGGGTATGAAGCGAATAAGTTGAGAATGGGGGAGTGGAAAGAAGAAGATCTAGGATGTGGATTTGAAAGCACCCTGATTTGGAAGAAAATCTGGCGATAAGACCAAGCGCAGAAAGCGATCGAGCAGGTGGGGTATTTGGCGTGGGCCGTCGGCCAGGGTTGAAATAATGCCGGAGTTGACTTGACAAGATTTCCAACATGTGAAATTTTTTAAAATGTTCTTGAACCTTATCCAGCTCTACATGAATCATGGCCTTGTCAAAAAATTTTAACTTTCAATGAGATTGACATTGATTTTGTATTCTGGTGAAATCGATCTTGGTCAACAAAATTTATTACCAAAACAAATGGCTTTTGCCTTTTGATTTCAAAAAGAAAGTGTGGGCCCATTTCTTATACTTTATTTTCCTTGTTTCTCCTTCCCAATTTATTTGTAAAAATTTTAGTTGTTTCGCTTTTCAATTTCCTTCCGCTTGTTTTACTATCTTCAAATTCATGGTTATGGAGAATCCTAGAATTCTATTTTCGTTTATTAAAAAGAGATATATAACGAAAAACAGAAACATTATCAAATGGATATTCACAGAGAAAATGAGACCGACGAGAGTTGGATATTCAGTGGGTTATGTTATGTTGTATTGTGATTGAACTTTTTTTCCATTTCATGCGTACAAGAAATGTTATTTGTTGGGAGCCGCAAAGATGGAGAAATGGAAAAATAATTATCTTATCCAAAATAAGATTCTACATTTCTACTTCTTTAATCATAATTAATTTCTTCTTTCTTGACTCTGGCCTTTGTTTTGTTTGTCAAATCAAACGCTGTGGTCTTCTCGGCTGCTTCTGGAACTTTGATTGGGTTTTGCATATATTGCATGGTCTTACTTGTAAATGGGATTATTTCAAAATAAGCCATCAAATATTTGTCTTTTTCATTATTTATGTGAATTAAAACTTGTATTGAATTTATAGTAAGACTTGGTGAGAATTGGTCTTCTTTAGCCAAAATATTTTAGCAGGACAACTCTAAAGAGATTAAATAATTCATGTTTAGCATGTCATGGACCATAATTCTGAGATTTCTAGAGATTTTTAGTGAGTAGGATTCTTGTTAGGCTTCTACCATCCTATAAAATTATGTACATAGTCACTTCATCTAAGTAGAAATTTATGATATCTAATTAATTAGATAGCTTAAATTAAATGTCAACATGACTTTGATGGTCTTTATATAAATAATGCGTGTAGCCCATTTGAATTTTACAATTAATTAAAAGTTTAATGCAATTTATTATAAGTGGGAAAAATTCATTTTTCTTTTCAAAATTAGCAAAAGAAAAAATATATCATATGCTCAAATTATTTAGAAATTACCAGTCTTAAATGACTTGTGTGAACTTAATTATTATTTGAAATTTGTTTATGAGGAAGTGGCATATTGAGTCTCATGGTCCAAGTAGCAAATATTTAGCTAAAAATCTCACATAACAGCTGGTTGAAGATGAGCTAATCTAACTTTAACAAATTATGTGGAACAAGTGGACAAGAAGAGAGTATACATTTCAACCCCTTTCAAATATGTTAATTCTCTATATATTTGACAACACGAGATCATCCAAGTGTGGATATAAACTCAAACTAAAATACTACAACTGATTCCGTACACATTATTTTTTCCTTGCTACTTCGGAGAAGCGTAGTAGCTCGACCAGAGTAGCTCTAAATAGCTTGAAAGATTGCTGATAGTCTAAATAAAGGTTGGTGTTGAGATATCTTATGTAACTGTCTATAAGTGCAAAACTAATTCTAAAAACAACCTAACAAACCAAAATCGTGGGACCTACTATCTCTCTCCGATGAATAGGTGTTCATTTCCATATGGAGGTGTGCAATTCTAATTCCTGGTCTCCGAGAGCTATAGGTTTAATTTGCACTAATTTAAGAGTCAGAGTGTTTATTCTATTTGTGTATTTTTTCCTCGTATAAATCACTTTGAATAGTTCAGCCATATTCATCTCGCACGTGATTTCAAGAAAGTGAGATTTAGGTATAAAAAATTATCATCCAATTATCAATCAATTATGCACGGAGAATTATCACCACTTAAACCACATTACATTCGTACGACTAAACAGCATAATAAATAACATTTTGATTTAAGTACTACATAAAAGTTTTCTTAAGAAACAAAAAAAATGCGTAAAGGCCCAAAAGGCCCATCAAGCTTTTCAAGTGGGCTTTACCACTCCGCAATCCATACCCGTCCCTAACGCAGCCAGCGTACGTCTCGCTGGAATGAAGCGGGCAACGAATATCATAATAATAATATAATATATTAGATTTTGAAAAACAGCATATAAAGTTAGTTTATGAAAAGGAGAAATATAGATAATTATTTAGGTTAAATAATTGGGGCGGGGAGAGGAGATCTGTCATTCGAGGGGCAGTGAAGGGGATCGATCACACGTGGGCCCCACCACAGCGTGGCTTTCCAAAAAGTGCCAGCTCAACAGCTTTGACTGCTACTGAGATCTAGAAGACCGCTTAAATATTTTATTTATTTATTTCTCTCTTTATTTAATTATACTCCTCACTCCTCCCCTTGTTTCCCAATTCCCAATTCCCAAATCCAAATCCAAATCCAAATCCAAATTCCGGTCTTTGCTTTTGCTTTGACTACTTTCCTTTCCCTTACTCCAACCCCACTGCTCCATCCAAAAGCCGACACGTGTCCCACGAAGACCGTGCCTCCCTTTTCTTTTCTCTTTCATTTTCTCTCTCATTTCTCATCCACTTTGGATTTTTCTTTTCTCTTGGTCCTTCAATTTCAAACGGATTAAATTAACGATGTAATAATAACATGAATTTAGCCTTTGGTAATTTGTATAATTTATTTATTTATTTATCTATAGTTGAGATGCAAGCTATAAATAAATTCAGGTGAAAAATAGAGAATTATTGAGGAGGTGGGTGGATTTAGATTTCTTTTTTTTTCTTTTTGGTGTAGTTTGGGTGTATGTGCCAGCACAATTGTAGAAATTAAGGCCTCGATTAATCAATAATCATAGACCCTACCACCACAAAGCCGAGTGAGTACTATGCAAAAGTTCTTGGACTAATAATAATAATAATAATAATAATAATAWATATATATATATATATATATATATGCTTTTAGCTTTGTTGCAGACTGGACTGCACGTGTGGTGCACGGTCCTTCTGCAGTAAAACAACCTGTTATATGAAATATCCAGTAATATCCCATATTTCCCCATTTCTAAAAATTAAAGCTTTTTTTTTTTTTGGTTTAGGGTTTTCTTTTCCAATCTCTCTAAAAGACCGAGGTGGGAGGTGGGGAGGGGGCAGTCTGTGAACAGTAGTACAGAAGAAGATAACCAAATCTCTCTTCCCCTCACCTTTCTCTTCTTCTTCTTTCTTCTTGGCTCTGTTTTTGTTGCTTTTTGATTGGTTGACACAATGCTCTTTTTGGGTGTGGGTCATGATTTTCTGATCTGGGGTTTGATTATTTCGCCCTTTTCGGGAGCTTGAAGAGGAAGGCTTTGGAATTGGGGAAGCCAAAAATCTCTTAGCCCCCATCTCTTTTGTTAGGTGATGATGATGATGATAGTGTAATGAAGAAGGAGATATCCTTTTGACCAGAACAAAGAAAGAAAAAGAAAACCACCAAAGTGAGGAAACATTGTTGCCTGTGATTGTCAATGAGAGCGACAGTGTAGGAAGGCGAAAGCAAAGAAAAGGAGAAAAAGAAAACAAGCACCCCCTCTTCTCACTTCTCTGTTTTTGCTTTCTTTCCCCCTTTTCCTTCCTTTTCCTCCCCACACGTTCCTCTTGGTCCTCTCTCCCCTG